GGTTTCGGGCACATCCCCAGTAGGAGATGTGCAGGAGGCAGCTGATCGATGTTTCTCTCTCATCGATATTTCTAACTCTCTCTCTCCCTTCCTCTCTGTAAAAAATCAATAAAATATATTTTTTTAAAAAAGAAAAAAGAAAAGGAAAGGGATGTGGGGTGACGTTGAAACTCCAGAGCTGAGTGACAGTGGCTCTGCAGATCTGGAGTTCTGATTGGCTGCGGTAACTGGGAACCACACACTCCAGTGCTCTCCAGTGGTAGAGGAGGACGTGCTGTGGTACCCGGGACAAGGCATGGAAGAGACGGATCATCACTCACCAATCACAGTGGGCTCCAGATCCACAAACACAGCCCGGGGCACATGTTTTCCAGCCCCAGTTTCACTAAAGAAGGTGTTGAAGGAGTCATCCCCTCCTCCGATGGTCTTGTCGCTGGGCATCTGCCCATCTGGTTGGATTCCATGTTCCAAGCAGTAGAGCTCCCAGCAGGCATTGCCAATCTGCACGCCGGCCTGGCCCACATGGACTGAGATACACTCACGCTGAGCAGACAAATAGCAGAAAACACCCTTAGCAGAGAGAAACGTATCATGCCTGGACACAATTCCTGCCTTCTTGCCTTCCTTGAGTGGTTCTCCGGTTGAGGGCAAAGTTTCTTGGACTCTGCTCTCCTTGCCCCACCCCCTGTGGCTAAGCATTTACAGGTGGCATTGAGGACCAACAGGCATTGGTTCTGGGGGCTGGGCCAAATCCCTCAGGGGAAGCAGAAGATGTGGGCAGTTCTCAGCTTATGGAGTCTTGCTCAGGGACTAAGCATCTTGAGGAATGTTGAGGGGATCAAATGAGTCTGGCAGAGAACCAAAGTCAACCCACTCATGTTCAGAAAGAAATTAGGGGCCACTGGTGAGGGAAGCAAGATCCAAGGGAAGTTTCGGAGTCAAGGATAAGGAAGAGGTTTATAGAAGCAGAAAGAACTCTGGATCCATGTGACAACCAGAAATGCCAGTGAGTAAGGAAAAAGAGGGCCTGGAATCGACATGCATGTGCTATCTTTCCTCTTGGGTACGCATGGCTCTGGAGTGGGGTGGGACTGGAAAGAAAGGTCTTTCTACATGATCCAAGGGCTGGTGGTCAAAGAACCCTGGGCCCCTGAAACAGGACTGTTGGTCTAAGAAAAGAGAAAGGTCAGTGTCCTTCCCGGGGAGTCCCATGAGAATCAAGAAGGCTTGACCCTCTTGCTTCAGCAAAGATTTATTGAGCCGCTACTATGTACTGCACACTGTGCTGACACTGGGGACACATAACACCTATCACTCAGTCCCTGCCCTCAAGAAGCTCACTGCCTAAGGAAGAGAGAGTTTCCTAAGTTAACAGAGGTATGATATAAGGGCAGTGGGGTACCAGAGATGTCTCCCAGACCACTTCCCTGGGTACTACCAGAGTACTTCTCTGCTTGAGAAGTAATTTCCACAGACCTTACAAATAAAATGAGCACATTCATCAAATTTCCCCAAATTAAGGCTTAACAATACAGAGGATGCGAAGAAATGGGAACTCTTACACTGCTAGTAGAAGCTGAAAGTTATGTATCTCAAATTAAGAAGAATCATATGATACCATTTATGTAACCAATACTATGCATCATTGACAGATAAGTTTATATATTTACTATATAGTCTTGTAAAATGGATATATTGCAAAAATAAAGAAAGCAAAGGAAAATATTAACCAAACTTGGAATAATGGTTCTCTCTGGTAGAGATGAATGTAATTGGGAAGAGATCCTTTTTCTTTCTTTTTTTGAGAGCCTATTTCTTAAAGTGGGTAACAGGTGTTCATTAGATTATTCTTTATACCTTTTTACATATCTAAAATAGTTTGTACATTTTTAAATGATACTTCCTCCATAAATTTAACATGTCACTGACATTTTTATCCTATATAATAAAACCCTAATATGCAAATCGACCGACTGGTGGACCGGTGGAATGACTGGTGACTATGACGTGCACTGACCACCAGGGGGCAGACACTCAACACAGGAGCTGCGCCCTGGTGATTAGTGCGCTACCACAGGGGGAGGGAGGGCTGCTCTGCCAGAAGCCAGGTTCACAGCTGGCTAGCACAGCGGCAGTGGTGGGAGTTTCTCCAGCCTCCACTGCAGGTGGGCAGTAAGGAGTGAGGGGTCCCAGACTGCGAGAGCCCCGGACTGCGGGGGGTTATGGGGATCGGGCCTAAGCTGGCAGGCAGACATCCCCTGAGGGGTCCCAGACTGCGAGAGGGTGCAGGCTGGGTTGAGGGACAACCCCTCTCCCTGCAATGCATGAATTTCATGCACCAGGCCTCTAGTATGATATAAGGGGCTTGACTTATGATTTTTAGATGACTAGGATTAATCCATAAATCATTTGTATCCCAGCCCCATTACTTCTGTACTTGCCTTGAGCAAGTCTTAGCCTCTCTGTTGATGTCCTCCATTATGACAGGGGGGCAATAATAAGAGCCCCCTCCTAGAATTCTTTTGAGAATTAAGTGAAGGAATGCATGCATGTTGCCTGCCTCATTTCATGACACTTTCTAGGATGCAGCATATGTTGGGTCCCCCTATTAAACCCCTCAGCCCCTAATCACTGAGTCATAGAAAGAAAAGTTAATGAATTAATCTGGGAGGGATTTAAGGACACAGGAGTTCAGAAATCCGCAGGTCCAGAAGAGAGAGCTGACTCAGCTTCTCAGCGCACCAACCACCTGGCCAGGCAGGGACAACTGCTGCACCTCCGAGCCTGGCCAGGCTCTGTCTACAAAGTCAGACACTGTCCTGCTGCCCTTGCTCCTTTTTCTTGACTGTAAAAATAGCACAATCTCGTACCTGTATCCAGCAGGCTTTGTCATTATGTTGATTAGGTCCCATATATTAAGCATTAATTAGTTCCAGAAACTATGCTAAGTGCTTCACATACATTTTCTCATTTGATCTTCACAACAGCCCCCTTGAGTAGGTATTTTTATTAACCCATTTTACAGACGAGGACACTGACTCTCAAAGAGGTTAAGCAACTAGTTCAAGGTCATGAGCAAAATGAGGAATATTCAAAGCAGGGACAGCCTGGCTCCAACTATGTTCTTAACTGCTCTTCTATCCTGCCTATGTGGGAGACAGGTTAAAGATAGCAAATGATCCCACACCCAGACAACTCTGGGTAACTGGAAGCACCCTCCTTCTCCGCACCCTCCTTCTCCGCACCCCCCTTTACTTCCTCCCCCCCTAATATGTAACTGCAGTTGGGCAGGGCTATGAGGGTGTATCCCCACAGCTGGGAGATGGGACCACAGTGAATCTGCCATGGGGCTCAGGGTGTGTAGGGCATTGCCTACATTTTGTGTTCCAGTCCTGCTTACCCCACACTCCCTACCCCGAAATTCAGAGCCCTTTAGCAGCCCTGTTCCTGAGTCCAGGCTCAGGAAACACACACACACACACACACACACACACACACACACACATCCTGGTTACCATCACCCTGTCCTTCTTCACCCCTGCACATCCTGCACATACCCCCACATATCAGCACATTTGGGAAGGGGCACACACATCTGGAAGTCTCTTTCCCCCATCCCCACCTGCCCACACACTGTAGTACCTGACTGCCAGAGATTCCTCACACCACCCACCTGGGCCCACTGGGACCCTCACTTGCGTGCTTAGCACCCCACCTCTGCTCACCATGCTGTTTGGCTGAGTGCTGACTGGGGTCTGTCTGCTGCTAGATGGAAAACAGGGATGAGTGCGTGAGAGACCCACAGCCTCTGGCCTCCTATACGCTCTGGTCTGCTCTCAGGGTGGAAATGTTGTTAGAAACATGCCCAGGAGGGCAGGCCTGTTGACTTGGTTACCAGGCAGCAGGCAAGTCCTGGTTCTGGGCCCAAATAGGGGAGGGAGGTGGAGTGTAGGTGGGGCTATGACGAGTCTGTGGTGAACTAGAACAAGGAGTTCTCGGACAGGAGATCAACCTCAGGGCCTTTGGGTGGGAACTCCGTCATAGAACATAGGGAATAAGAGCTTGGTTTTAGCCTCAGCTCTAGCATTTAACTTTTTTGCCTCAATTTTCTCATCTGTAGAACGGGAAGAGGGGGAATTGTGAGGGTTAAACAACAGACTTTGTAAGTGCTCTGTCCAGAATTGCTGCTGTTCTCCATGGGGAAAGCACGCTGATGAGCAGGGCTCGGGGCTATTTGTCGGAGTTTCTCCCTATTTCAGTGCAAGTTGTTGCTGGCCTCGCCTGCCCTGATTTCTCCACCGAAGGACTCGCCCCATGGCCTTAGGCAAAGTTATGAAATGAAAATGTTAATCTCTCACATTTGTATTCTGTGTTGTAGTTCTTAAGGCTGCTTCACCCCTTATCTCCTTTGAGACCCTCAACTTTGCGAGGTAGCCAAGGTAGGGCCTCCATTCCCATGATGTCTTGCCTAAGGTCACATGGGGGTTAATTAGTGGTAGGATTAAGAATCTGGGACTCAGGCTCAGCGCTTCTCCGCTTTCCACGTGGCAGAGTTGGCGTTGTCCCTCATGCCCGTCCTGGGTCTCTATTTTCTTCCTTCCCTTTCTCAGTTGCAGTGGTGGCCATTCTCTTGCATACCCCGCAAGTCCCTGGCCTCCCTCTAGCTTCAGCAGCTTCATGTGACTAAACCACAACCCTGCATAATTCATTTCTTCACCAAGTCTGTGCCTGCACTGACCCAGCGAAATAGTGGAAAAAACCCAGAACCAAGCTGATGAATCTGACTTCGAATTCATGACCTCAAATGGACCCTAATGCTGCCTGGAAACCACACAACATCTCGTCTGTCATTTTTCCAAATAGCAACCATGACCTGGAATAGGAATGCCATATTTAGCAAATAAGAGAATTTTATCTAGCAACCCTATCCAGGAAGTAGTTGCTACTGTGAAATTTCAGTCACTGTGGCAATTAGTGGGGGTTATTTTGAGGGAGGGGCTTTTTCAGAGTCCTTCTGATCACAGTTTACTAGGGAGTGACCCTGAATATCAACATGGCTAACTCTGACTTGGGTTGTAGACTGAAGTCTTCACTCTTCCACCTGGACCTAAGAGGCCAAGATCCCCAGAGAGAAGACACAGTCAACCAGCACTTCAAAGGTAAGGAAGCCCAGCCTCCTACAGGGCTGATTCATGAAGCCACAGACCTCAGGAATTGTCATCCTGGGAATTATTATTCAGATGGAGGAATTCAGGGCCTATCCACTGGGCCCCAAACTCTGTTATCTAGCACTTTGTTAAACTTTTAAAAAATATGTTTTTATTGATTTCAGAGAGTGGAAGGAGGAGAGAGAGAAACATCGATGCACTGCCTCCTGCACGCCCCCTACTGGCAATCGAGCCCCCAACTCAGGCATGTGCCCTGACTAGGAATTGAACTCTGACCTCCTGGTTCATGGGTTGATGCTCAACCACTGAGCCACACCAGTCGGGTTCTTGTCTAGCACTTTAACTTCTCCCAACTGGACTCCCAGTTGGGCTCAGGGTCAACCAAGATATCACCAGCTCTAGAGAGAGGCCGGTGGGGAAAGAAGCCTTATGTAAAACGGAATAACGAGACAGATTTTTAAAGCATATTAATGTACCTTAGTTATAAAATAAGAGGCAGTCAATACTCTAATTCCTTCAACAAATATTTATTGAGTGTCCACTATGTGCCAAGCACTGTACCGATGCCAGGGTTACAGTGGTGGACAAAAAGAGTCTGTGCTCCTAAGGAGCTGACATTTCCATGGGCAAACACATAACAAATTAAGAAGACGATCTCAGAGAGCCATCTGAGAAAACAAAACCGGACAATGGCCCCAAAAGAGATGGGAGGTGGGGGCTGTTGCTGAGAAGGAGCGGCTCTCTAAGAAGGTGACACTGGAGCTGAGAGGACATGACAGGGTGTTAGCCATGCGGGATCTGGAGCGAGCGCTCCAGGCAGAGAAAATAGTGAGTGCAAAAGTCCATAGGTAGGAGTGAGCCCCACGTGTTTAAGGAAACAGAGGAAAGGGGAGAGCTATACAAGATGAGATCACAGAGCTAAAGGGACTTGGAAAGAGAACAGCTTTTATTACAGGTGCAAAAGCAGGGTTAAGCAAGCATCACTGCCTACTTTGTGTTTTAGAGAGATTATTACAGCTGCTGTGTGGAGACTGCATTATAGGGGTTCAAGAGTAGAAGCAGAAAACTGGTTAGGAGGCTACTGTAGGCATCCAGAAATGGGGGGTGGGGCTTGGACTAGAGTGGGGACGGTGGGAGGTGGCTGGGTTCAAAGTCGTGGGACGTGCTAATGTGTCCCGACCTGCGGGACAACAACGGGGAACGGAGAGACACCCTAGGAGAATGAGACAAGCAAGGGACACGAAAGAATGGAGGCAAGACAGGATTCTGATCAAGCCTCAAATTTTATTCTTACAGCGGCAGAATATATATTGTTTTAGGGACGGGGGGGGGTAAAGGGGTCTATGGGCAGTAACCTGTGGGCAGTAACCTATCACTAGAGATTTAGTAGGCTCCGGATGGCTGTGCTTATCAGCAGAGATGCGTGATTTAGTGGCCTTCGGATTGGCTGTGTGCTTAGCCTTCAGATGGCTGTGTGCTTATCAGTGGGGAGGTGTGAATTAGCAGCTGTGTGGGGGCAGTTTGTCTTTTTACTGCTGGCCAAATTGCAAGACACAGGTGGTTTCTAGTAATTAGGAGTTTCTGAAGGAACCAGAAACTTACAGTTCTTAAGATGGCTTTGTCTAAGCCAATATTTCTAATGGCTCCCAACACTAATGTGTGCAGCCGACCTACCCAACAGCCTTACCTACCCCCTGCCTCCACTTCGTCTTTGCTTGCAGGGTCCTGATTTGTTTAATTACTCCCCTTCCACTTGCTCAGGGATCATGGCTTTTCCCCAGACCTAGGAGTGAGTAGAGAGCAGTTTAAACCATTCATGGTAATTCTAGTCCCTCCTTCCGGAGATCGGTTTAGGAATGGGGCCAGTGAGCCAAAAGGGGAAGTCTGCAAGGATGCTTTAAGGAAAGGTTTTCCTCCCTGATAAAAAGAGATATGGGAGGAAACCCCCCTTTTCCTGCCGTAGGACAGTGTCCATTGGAGACATGATACTTGGAGCTGCTGCAGGCATCTTGTGATCGTGAGCGAAGCTGCCACCAGCTCATTGAGGATGCCAGAGCAGAAAGCTGGAAATACTGGGTTATTGGTGACATCACTGAAGCAACCCTGGAACCGCCCGCCCTACACTTAGAATTCTTGTTGGATAATAAATACCCTCATTGTTTAAGCTGCTTTTCGTTATCTGCAGCCAAAAAAAAAAAAAAAAAATCTAACTAATAAAAGAGGAGAAGGAGAGAGGGAGAGAGGAATGCAGGGTGATCCTAGGTTTCTAGCTTAAGCATGCGGGTGGAAGGTGATATTGTTCACTCAGACTCAGAAGCCCAGGACAGAGCAGGTTTGGCAGGGAGTGAGGGGAGGGTATTGAGAGTTCTGCTTTGAATGTGCTATGTTGGAGATGTCTCATGGGCTTTCAAGTGGTGATGTCAACAATGCAAAAAGTCACATGAGTCTGAAGTTCAGAGAAGTCCAGAATGGAGATGCAAATGTGAGAGTCATCAGCATTAGATGTTATTTCTTTTTATCCCGTTCTTTCACTATGGTTGGGGAATGTGTAGACTCTGGTTCTGTTCCTTTTGGATAACCCTACAAATGTTGTAACTTTTTATTCAGCTCATTTAAAAATACACTTACAGTAGAGATAATATAATAAAACCCCATACACTCATCACCCCTCTTCAACAGTTGCTTTTTCAGGCACAAAAACAAAGAAAGGAGAGCCCAGGACTGATCTATGGAAACTCCCTTTAGAAATAAACCATGAAAAACTACCAAGAAGAAGTGGCCAGGACAAAAACCAGGAGAGGGGGTGTCATTAAAGCCAAGAAAGAAGTGTTTCAAGGAGGGAGGAAGGACCAACTATGTCAAACACAGCTGAGAGGCTGAGAAAGATGAAGATAGAGATGTAAACACTGGCAAGATGGAAGTCACTGGAGAACTTGGCAGATCATCTCAGTGGAGCATGGGAACCAAGCCTGCATAGAGAGTGGGGAGGAGAGCAGATATGGAGATATCCCTTTAGGAAGGTTGGCTGTGCGAAGGAAGACAGCTGGTAGGTGCTCCAGTCTGAAAGAAACAGAAGGGTGTGCACTAAGGCTCCATTCCACCTCTCCCAAAGGGCGTCAGTGGAGTCATTTGAAACTTTGAGGACCTTGTTGCTTTGCTCCAAGATGGAGGTGTAAGATTCTGGGAAAAGGTTAGAAAAGACAGAGATAACAATGGCCAAGGGGAAAAGTATAGAAATCCAAAGAGAGTGTGTTTTGCTAGACACCCATGTATGGTAGATGGACTAAGCAGTGATTCAATGGGAAGAGCGAAGTGCCTGGAATCGTCTTCTAGATTCTGTACATGTATGTGAACGTCTAAATGTTTTCAGTCTGGTAATGTGGACCATTACCTGCATACCCATGCAGAGCTACGGCCCTAATTCAGAAGCATCTGTATATGTCCTGAGGCTATACACACAGTCATGCACAAAATGTGTGCACGCACAAAATCAGAAGTAGAATCTTCATTCCACTAGCATGCCTTGGATAATTCTCCCTGCACCGTCTCCATTTTCCCTGCCAGAAGGCCTGCTCAGGGGTTGTTAAACTTCTTGCCACAGGGGCCAGGGTAACATAACAGTGTAAGGTAGGCTGAGCATATGATGTTAAATGGCAACAGATACTTGTCTTCTGTGTCAGGCAGACACAGAATGGCATGTACTGAGTGAACTGGAGCAGCTTGTTGCCTCTCATAAAGCTCCATTTGCTGCCATATTGGTTTCCTGTTGCTGCTGTAACAAATAGCTACAAACTTAGTAGCTTGAAACAACACAAAGTTACTATGTTACAGTTCTGGAGACCAGCTAGCCACAGTTGGTCTTATGTGGCCAAACTCAAGGTGTTGCAAGTGTTGCCTCTTTCAAAAGACTCTAGAGGAGAATCTGTTCCTTGCTTTTGCCGTCTTCTAGAAGCTGCCCACATTCCTTTACTCGCGGCCCCCTTCCATCTTGAAAGCTAACAGTCACGCCTGACCTTTGCTTCTGGCCTCTCCTTCCCTGACTCTGACTCTCCCGCCTGCTCTTCCACTTGTAAGAACCCTTGTAAGGGCTGATCCCACCCAGAAAGTTCAGAATTATCTCCACATCTCAGGATGTTTACCTTAATCACATCTGCCAAGCCTCTGCCAGGTAAGATAATGTAGGCACAGGTTTGGGGATTAGGATGTGGGTCTTTTTGCAGGACTGTTATTCTGCCTACCACTGTTGCTAAATGGGAATGCAGGCCTAGTACGGCCAGACCTACCAGTTCTTTTCAATTAAACCTAGAAACCTGCATTTTTATTTTTATGTTATTGACTTTTTTTTCCCAATTGATTTCAGAGAGAGGAAGGGAGAGGGAGAAAGAGAAACATCAGTAGGCTGCCTCCTGCATGCCCCCTACTAGGGATCAAGCCTGCAACCCAGGCATGTGCCCTGACTGGGAATCAAACTCAGCAACTTCCTGGTGCATGGGATGACACCCAACCAACTGAGCCACACTGGCTCAACTAGAAATCTGCATTTTTATATGACTGTGTAGAAAAAAGTTAATATAAAAGGCCTGAGAGTGCTATCCTTAGAAAGGCCTGCTTACAAGACTGGCCCTTGGCTGGCATCGGGGAACTTGGCTTTTGAAGTGTTCCAAATCAGCAGTTAACTGACAATGATGGTTTGTTGTGCCTAGACTCTTAATCTAAATAATATAATTTATGCTGAACAGTTGCTTTTATTCCAGGAGTCTGGAATTGTTGTATGTGCTAGGCAAAGGTGCCTATGTGACTGACACCCAATAAAAACCTTGAGTGTTGAGTCTCTAATGGGCTTCTTTGGGCAGAAACACTGCAGAGAAATATTGCTCCATTTTTATTCTGGAGGAAGAACACACTTTGTGAGCCCTTATGGGAGGGAGAGGGCACAGATTACTCCACACACCCCTTGTGTTTTTCCCCTTACAATCTGGCTGTGTATTGTCCTATGTCCCTGTAATAAACCTTAGTTGTGAGTACAATTTTATGCTGAGTCCTTCAAGTTCTTCTAGCTCAGTGGTTCTCAACCTTCCTAATGTCGCGACCCTTTAATACAGTTCCTCATGTTGTGGTGACCCCCAACCATACAATTATTTTCGTTGCTACTTCATAACTGTAATTTTGTTACCGTTATGAATAGTAATGTAAATATCTGATATGCAGGATGTATTTTCACTGTTACAAATTGAACATAATTAAAGCATAGTGATTAATCACAAAAACAATATGTAATTATATGTGTGTTTTGCGATGGTCTTAGGCGACCCCTGTGAAAGGGTCATTCGACCCCCAAAGGGGTCGCGACCCACAGGTTGAGAAACACTGGGCTAGCTAATCTCCTAACATAGGGGTGGTCTTGGAAATGCCCCAACACAAAGACAATTCCTGAATTTTTTCATATTCTAAATGTTATAGGGGTTAACACTGTGAGGGCCAAACAAAACATTTCTGAAAGCGAATTTGGCCTCCAGGCTGCCAATTTGTAAATTCTGGCTTCTTAGACGTCTACCCTAATTTTAGTCCCATCTCTGAAGTGAAAAATTCATCCCACACACTCAGCACATGCCTACCATGTGCTAAGCACCTTGGTAGGAACTAGGAATACAAAGATGAATAAGATACAGCCCTTACCTTCAAGTTTGCTATGTAGTAAGATGGAAATGTGCACAAATAAATGCAGCATGATGCACTACACGCACTACTACAAATGAATAAAATAAGAATCCAGCCGAAGCCGTTTTTGCTCAGTGGATAAAGTGTCAGCCTGCGGACTGAAAGGTCCCAGGTTTGATTCCGGTCAAGGGCATGTACCTGGGTTGCGGGCACATCTCGAGTAGGGGGTGTGCAGGAAGCAGCTGATCGATATTTCTCTCTCATCGATGTTTCTGGCTGTCTATCCCTCTCCCTTCCTCTCTGTAAAAAATCAATAATATCTATATCTATCTATATCTATATCTATATCTATATCTATATCTATAAGAATCCAGATAGCTGCTTACAGTGATTTGCCATGTCTATACACATTCCTAAATTCATCTGGTCCTCACAACCTGAAGTTATCCCACTTTGACAAATGAAGCATCGGAACCTGAAAGTCAAAGACGTTTAGGGTTTTGCCGAAACTAAAATCTCTTTTGGTCTTCGTTGTGCGGGGGTGGGATTGCACAAGGGGAAGAGAGTCAGGGGAGGTCTGCAGAGGCCCGGTGTTCTGTTATCACCAAGGTTCCTGCTCTGTAGAGACCATAACCCCATTTCCCAAAGCAGCCTCGCTCTTGCCCTTGTCAGTTTTCTTTTTTATGAATGAATCTCGTTCTTCCAACCAGAAGGTAAGTCCACTGGGAAGAGAGACTTGCCATGTTTCACGTATTCCTTTCCCTGCCTTGCCTAAGTAAGATCTCGTTCAGCTCTTTTGTTGAGAGAAGGTTGCCATGCTAGGTGTTTTGTCCTACTGTGTTGTGTGCTCAAAGAGCTCTGGCCCTAGGAAACACTATGGTAGGAGCGGCAGGTGAATCCTTTCTGAGTGACTAGCGGGTGGGACAGGGTTAAGTGTGGGCACATGGGGCACTTCCTGGTGAATTTCCCCGGTGAAGGGAGACGGCTAGGAAATGTAAGGCACGTCAAGGGAAGCAGAGGTGGATTGAGGCGTTCATTCTTGCAAGCAGTGGAAATGAAACATAGAAAGAGGGAATGGCTTCTGCTGAGGCCTCCACCTGAGTGCTGACGCCCTAAAGATGCAGGTTGTAGCTCCTGCCCTCAGCTGAGGGTCAGAAGAGGACGTGAAAGCCAAAATCCGCCTCGATATCAGAGTCTTCGCTTCCTTTTTTCCTCTTCCGCGTCAACAAGCGTTCTGATACCTCACGGCAATGCTTTCAGGGTGGAGTCGTCTCCGATGAAGAAGCCAAGGGTTCAGTGGCATTAAGTCACCTGCCCAAGGTCACATAGGGCAGTCGGGATGCGAGTCCGGGCCCTAAGGACTTCAGGCCCGAGCTCCCGCGGTTCCGGCAGCAGGAAAGCGCGCGGGCGGTCGTGGCAAGGGCTCGCCAATAGCTAATGGTGACGGCACTGATGACGAGGCCCCCA